CCCTTTGAGGTCAGAGCTGCAAATGGCAGTGGCTATTACGAGATTGGAAAGGTGGGAAGTGCGACAACTATGGGGTTGTTCAACGCCAAGTGGTTGAAGAAATATTACGCCTAGGCCTGGTGAGCAACAAAGAATCTCGCACCCCTCCCCTCTTCCTCGAGGCACTGTACCTGCCCAGACACCTCGAGGCACTGTATTTTCGAAAGTGAGGTTTCCCTTTTGATAATGCCTTTTACCCTCTTTAGGCACTGTACCTGTCTAGCCACCTCGAGGCACTGATTTGTAAAAGCAATAGCTTTTCTTTTTGGCAACATCTCTTGTTTCCTCGAGGTACTAGGTCTGTCCAGACCCCTTGGGGCACTGAACTTTGTAAAAGCAATAACTTGTACTGGCATTTACTATTATCAATAAAGAGGGGCCCGAGGAATCGTATCTCTTAACACGACTTGGATAATTTAAAAAACGTTACCCGTTCATTGTTTATTTTACACATGAACATATTAGAATGCTGTTCTACTAATAGTGCATTAATAAAAGGCATGGAGAATTCAACAGAAAGTTTTCTTCATTCATAGGGAAAAGAGGGAATAACACAGACGAATACGCTAATTTCCCTCAAGAAAACTACGATAACAGAGGTTTATAATTATGAAATCATACATCAGAGTAAGTTGTCCAAATTCAACCTCATGGGACCAGCAAAGACAGCCTACGCGTAATCTCCTCTTCTCATGCAGTTACATACTGACGTCTCGAGTCTATTTGTCCCTGAAGCTCGGCTAAGTGGGCTTCCTCGGATTCTAGGATTCTCTTGTTATCCTCCACATGATCACGGAGATCCTTAATCTCGAGAACCATCATCTCACACGCCTCGTGAGATTTGACCCGCTTAACCGCGTCCTCGAGCCAACCCACATCACTCGAACCCCCTGAAGAGCGGCGAGGATGTGCCTAAGGGATTCGAGCTCCTTCTTGTCCAAGCGCCTTTTCTTAGCCTTGTGAAGGACCTTCACCAATTTGAGTAACGACTTGTAAACAAAATCTACAAAGAAGGTCGCGGTCCCACCAAGGTTCTCAAATGAGCCAGGATGTTTGATCTTGATCTCCTCGAGCACTCTTACCTCTTCTAGACTAAAGGGTAAGTCCACCCCACGAGACAATGGGTAAGGCCACATTTGGTACCTCTGCCCTATGAGGACTGACACCTTTCTCAGAGCATGGCTCAGGAAAGAGTACCCTGCCCAGCATCACCCGCAGCGGCCGCAAGAGAACCATCATCATCATGGTGATCACCTCCGCCCCTGCCCCTTCTCCTCGTTTCGACCACAGCCCTCGCACTGGTCACCTTCCTTGCCCTGAACGTCGCCCCACCTGGCCCATCTTCCTCGTTTCGACCATCGCCCTCGAGCTGGTTATCTCCCTTATCAAGCCCAACATTCTCATTTCCACTATCCTTGGCATGTTTAGCAATACGTTGACTATCACCCCTCAACGAGCTTCCCGCAGCAGAGGCAAAGTCCCTCAAAGAATGATTTGAAGACGAGCCCTCTACACTCAGCGAATCACTCTTCTCCGGAGGAAGAGCATCACGAGCCGTGTTCACTAATTTCTCAAAGTCATCAAGCGAAGTGAGAGCGATCTCTTGGAGAACTTTGACAGAAGTATCAGTACCACCGTCACTGTTTACATGGCTTTGCTCTATGTTTGTTGAGGTAATTGGAATATTATCGTCGCACGCCTGAACGTCAGTGGTTGAAGAAAAATAGGAGTTAATAACTAAGGCGGAAGTAGCAAGACAGAGGAAAAACAGCCTCTTGCCAAAAGGGAATGATGGTACCTTGGGTAGAGCGTGAAAAATTGGACTCACTTTCGACATTAGAGGCATTTGCGCCAATCGAGCCCATGACAGCCTCATTAACTTGACCTGTACTCGCATCTAGCCTACTAAGACCTCGCGCTAGAGGTATTAACTCCTTACCTATCCCATGCCGCGAGCGAAGAAGCGCGTGAAGTGGATCTGAAGGAATGTCCAATCCACCTTGATCAACAGAAGAAGCACGAGCGGGCACATTTCCCTCAATAGCGTTCTTGAGAGGCAAGGATTGGGATCTTGTGCCAGAAGCGGCCCCAGCACGAGTTACTACGTGAGGGACCCCTAGAGATGCCTCAGAGCCTTCAGGGACTATGAAGTCATGTGAAGGGACTTGAGAACGGAAACGGAGTTAGACCACTAGCAAAATAGGAAGAATTACAAGACACTAAAAGAAAGCAAAGTGAGAAGGGCCTAACCTTAGCTCGTTTTGATGGCATGGCCTTGGAGGCAGGAACAAAGGTACTCACATCCTGATCCATTTTGCGTTTGGTACGACGAGATTTAGAGGCCTGCAAAGCTATTATAGGTATGTTTGAGGGAAACACTAGAGGACGTAATCCAAAGGTTCCACATGGCTTCCCCCGAGCAACCACACCTTGCTTACCTGAACGAAAGGAAGTATCTCCCCTTAACAAGGGACGAACTGGAACGGGGACAGGGTCGCTTAGCACAAAGGATTTGAAGGAAGCCACGGTTTCTTTCCATTATGCCTTCGTCTCCATACCCTAGCGACCCACCCTCGACTTGGCAGTATTCGGAGGACTGGACATTTGCCTTCGAGCTCTACACCATTGGAATCAAGAAAGCGAGAGAGCCCTATAGCAGAGGTGCTCTTACTTTCGCTAGTACTGTAATTATACAAGCGAGGGAAACCTTGGTGTAATACCCCTAATTTTAAAAGGATAGTCTTGGTATTTTAATTATTGTTTATTGCATTTTCTTTGGTTATTTGCTTATTTGCACTTTGATTATTCTTTAATTAAATTAATTGTTTTATTTATTTTATTTGCACTTTGATTTTTCTTTAATTAAATTAATTGTGTTATTTATTTTATTTAGTTGAAATTTTATTTAGTGAATTAATTGTGTTAATTGTTTAAATGGTTTATTTGTATTATGTATTGTATTTAAATGAATTAATTGATTTATTTGGGACAATTAGTTTTAATAATTATTAAAGTATAGTTAGGGTTTTGTATGTCGGGGAAATCACGTAATGGGTTTAGCCGATTTAGCAATAGATTTAATTATTGTTCCTTTCCTTCTCTGAGCGAGATTAGAATTAGGGTTATGTTTTCCTAAGCCTATAAATACATTATACGTCTGCTAGGTTAAAACAAAAACCCTATTCACGTATTGAGAGGCAGAGAGAAACAAAGAGAGAAACTTGAGAGAATAAAGGCGGAAGGAACAGATTGCTTCTGGATTGAACCAAGAGCAACGGAGGTGTTGAACGGCAGTCTAGTCAGAAACTCAGAGACGGTGGTTTAAGGTTTCAAAACTGAAACCGAAGGCAAGTTCCTATTCTAATTCCTTCCCTTAAACCTGTGTTCTGTGTATGCCTAGGTAGACTCCAGGATTTAAATTAATGTTAAAACATATCTTATATGCATGTTAGTTCAGACTGTAAACAGTTTTATTGAGTTGATTAACTGAATTGGATTTAATGAACAAATTGTTTCAGTTTGTGTTTAATTCTTGTTAGCAAAGCGTACTGGTTGTCAACGAGTTTCTGGATAATTTGAGACATTAACTAAACCCTATAAAGCTTAATAAAAACACTACAGAGGCTCTGAACATCGCTGGAGGCGAAGAAGATGAATGAAAATCGAGCTACGGCTCTTAAGGGAGAGAGAGCCGTTTCCCTAAAGGAGGGAGCCAGCTCCCTCAATGTCGGAGCCAGCTCCCTCAATGTCATAGCCAGCTTCCACATGGAGGGAGCCGGCTCCCAAGGGTGGGGAGCTGGCTCCCATGTGTTTGGAGCAGGCTCTCAACTTTTAAGAGCCTGCTCTCGCCCTGAAACGCGCTGAAATGGTTTTTTAGGGGCTGTTTGGGTTGTCTGAGGTTTTCTAAAGCTGTTTAAATTGTACTAAATGATGTAAATAACTGCTATGGACTTATAAAAATATTGGGAAGCATTATTACATTATTGTATTAGGGAATGGAGCAACATGAAGTTAAAGAAAAGCCTGCTTGTTGAATATGGTTTTGTTAATTTATTTGCTTACTGAAATTTAGCAAATCTCTTATATATAATTTAATGGTGTTTAGTCATATTTCAACCCTGTTATAAGTGTAGTAGATTATCTGCAATTAACTATGCTTGGATTGGATTAAATTGATATTTGATTTGTTGTAAACTGTCTCAATTTATGGACGGTTTGGAGGATTTAAATGCTTAGCTTTATTTTAGCAATTTAAAGGATTGGAACATGATTTTTAGATCTTATAATGAATGCCTAATATGGTCATACATGTATTAAACTTTATTTATGCATATCTTGAAGTATGGTCGATGAATACTTATTACTGTTTTATTAATTATACTATTTGGAGGATTGTATGCACTGGTATGGGACAGTAGCGTACTAGGGATGGATTAGTCTAAACACTAAGTCCTACCTATTCTGGATTGAGGTATGGATTAACTATAAATGTTAAGTCCTACTCATATTGGTATCAGGTCAATAAATAATTGAATGACATACTTTGGTTTCTGGATGGATTTTTATACATATGTCAGGCCACTGTATCAGATGGATGATATTTTATATTAGGCTTATACGGACTTTATATATTTATGATTATGGTGCCGTGATATGAGCTTGAGTTTCAGGATCATGGTTAGGGTGTGTATATCGCCTAGGATGGATAACTGGACATAGTTGCTGTTCCCTGGTAGGTCTAGGTACACATGACAACGTTATGTGCGATTTGTATGGTATCTCTACTCAGGCTGAGACAGATTTATTGGGCTAGTGAGCATCTTATAGTGTGTATTTATACATATATGGACTACTTTAGTTATTGTTGAGCTATTTAGGATGTATCTGTGTATCGGGTTTCTGTATGGATTGTAGTAGGATAGAATTTGCATGTAGGCCTGACCCATTCTCTTATTTTTCAGGTATTCGTCAGTTCCAGGGTTAGAGCTTGATTGTGCTGAGCAAATACAGTCACTCATTCCTCCGACTACGTAGGACTGCTTTCCATGTTTAGCTTTGGATTTTGTTTCGGTTTGGGATTTTGATAGGTGTCCACCGGATGGATTCCCGAATTGTTTAAGTAATGAAGGTTTTGGATTATTGGATTTTAATTATATTATTTTGAGGTTTTTAAATTTAGAATTCTTTCAGCTTTATTATTTTATTCTTATTTCATTTTTTGTATTCCGTGCTTATTTACATATTAATTGTTTGGTATCCCTTGGATCTATGCTTGGACTTGATCACCCGTGGCTCTAGAATCGAGGGGTATCACACTTGGTCCTACCCAAATTGTTGAGCCAGGTTGTAGGCCACACCTACCCCGGAACTAGGAGGGAGAAAGGCAGGAAGATAACCTGCAGATGACATTGTAAGGACGGCCGAGGCAGGATTTTTGTGTACGGCTTCACCGGTTAATGTTGCACCATTCTTTGGTATAGTCTGATCAATATGAGGACCTTAGATATACGGTTGAGCTACGAAGCAGCTCTCTCTGTCAATAAACTTGACAAACTTCTTTTTAGAAGAAAGCTTATGCCAACGAAATGACCTTTTCAGGTTGGAATCACTGGGCACGGCTGCAGGGCAAGGAGCATAGCCAAGGAAATGTTCGTAGAGAAACATTTGTAAAAATATGGTGTTCATAGGAGAAACCACACTCATACGACCAACGGATTGTTCCATGCGAGTGTGGGCCAAATCTAGCTCATGATAAAGAGTGCCCAAAAATAGGGCGGCAAGGGGGACACTCTTACCACGAAAGAGCCTAATTGCCAAAGGGACCAGATCGGGGTAGGGACCATCATCCGGAGGACTTTGAAAAAATGAAACGAGAGAGCCATGACAAGAGATAGCCAGCAAAGCGAAGAGGATCCCTGCACTTGGGACCGTTGAAGGAGGGATGCCCCTCGAGGTCGCGCGGAGGGAAATCTTGAAAGTAGTAACGCAGAATAGACACAAAGGTGCACTTGCTACCTGTCTCGGGAAAGTCTTCTCTAAGCCCGTTTGTCTGATACCGAGTGGCAATCTTCCTGGCTGCAGTAATGGCCCCTCGAAGCGTGGCAGCCCGTTCGACCTCGATCTCAGGAATGGTCCAATTGCTCGGGTCATACTTGCTAAATAAATTCAAACACATCAGCTGAACGACGTCCTCAAGAGTCGGGGTGAACTTGCCCCAGGAAGTAACGAAGGTATGTGTATCCTTGCTCCAACGAGATATGAGTAAGGCGAGGCCTCGACCATCTTGAGAAACAGTAAGTTGACGAGTATTGTAGATCGCATCAGTGATCCTCGAGGCCTTCAGGGCCTTGCAGAAGATGTCATTGGCTAAGATACCATTAGTCCAACTCTCCCAACCAACACAATGACCTATTTGTCCTATGAACGCATAAGTGCAATGAGGGAAGTCTCCTCGCTGGACCCTTAGTCTCATAATCGAGCCAGGAGGAATTTTTGCCCCCTCTCAAGCGTAGGGTTCTCCCTCGAAGAGGTACGAACCGTCTTGGACCTCGGAAACATTGCTTAGCCCTTCATTATTCACCCAGAAGGTGTCGCTCGAACCATAATAGGAGGCAACGCGCCATTCGGCCAAAGGAGGGACGCTGGGTACGTTCGGGCGAGCTGCTCGAGGCACGATTCAAGAGTTTGGAAAAGGTGTAGGAGGCCTCGAACAAAGGACGGTTGCCCAAAAGCTACAAGTAGCGGTTTGAACTCTCTATCTCTTTGAGATGTCTTAAGTGTGCTCAAAATTTCTGAAGAAAAAATGAGGCTAAGTCTCAACTTATAAAGGGCAAATAGTCGCGGGCCTGGCAAATGAAAAGACATGACGCGAGACCCGAAGCGTCGCAGCTTTACTGATTGATTTAAAATTAATGGCTTGACAAGACGATAATAATAAATGCATACCGCCTCTTAACAAGCTCGAGGGGCGTGGACGTACAAGCGCACGCTTTCCCATCACAAATAAATGACCTTTTATTTTCCACACCTAAAAGGACATGGCAATTTGCTCGAGCCCACATCCTGCGACCTCGAGCAGGGGGGCAAAATGTTGACGAGCTACGCCATGGCTATATGCCACGTATCATTGCTATAAAACATTACACTTGGTTGCTCCTGATTGGGCCACACCAGTATCTGCCTGGCACCCCCTGAAAGGGATTAAGTGATCTCGAGTCACTTATCCCCTCAAGCTTAGAGCCCGAAGCGAGGAAGGGGTCGCTACCCTTCCCTCCTCTATGAAGCTACCCCTCTCCAGTAGGACGGGTACCTTCTTACACACTGAATATGAAGCTCTCTACTGCAGAATAGAGTTTCAAATGAAAAGGAACAGCTCGCCTCGAGCTCGCTTGGTTGTGTAACCCCGGGTCGAGTAGGGATTGTAGTCCTAAGGAGCCTAGAAGGCAGACTCCCAAAGGACCTCTTTCCCCCATTTCTAACTTCAGGAATCTGAGGTATAGTGGACAGGCGTCTGGAATCCAAGGAGACGCCTCAAGAAGAGGCCAGCACGGGAGGGAGCGGATTTTCTATACCAAGGACCGAGCTCACAACAACACAGGATAAGTGGTGCATTAAATGTGCCATCTTTCCGATTTGACCTGCATTTAATATAGGAAGTGACCCCCTCCTCGAACCAATATAATAATCGCCTCGGGCCACTAAGCGGTGTCCCATCTGACAGAGGCGTGGGCGAGGAACCTGCGGGTAAAAGAAGGTTCGCCCTCATGACCGAAGGTTCTTGACCAGATGAACCATTATAAATAGCAGGTGGATTAGCCATTAAAGATAGAACCAACAGCCCTTGAGCTCGAGTTATTTGGGTATTTATTTCTGCCTTCCCTCTCTCAATCTAAAAGAAGAATCTCTCGTGTTGCTTGGATTCCCCCTTGGACTCTATCTTTAGCATTCTTGACCTACGTGGAATTGTCTCCTCATCTTTAAGAACTATCATCAACACTTGTCTTAGAAATCTTGAGAATGTCTCGTGTAGGTGCGTGGAAAAGAACTTGGTCCTCAATTGGGAAAAATGCCATTTTATGGTGACCTGTGGAATTGTGTTGGGTCATATCATCTCATCGGAAGGAATTGAAGTTGACAAATCCAAAATTGATGTCATTGCCAAATTACCAACTCCAAAAACGGTGAAAGACATCCGATCATTCCTAGGCCATGTCGGCTTTTATGGGAGATTCATTCAAAATTTTAGCCTTATTGCAAAGCCTTTATGCAATCTCCTAGCCAAGGATGTCCAATTTGAATGGAGTGCTAAATGTGAAGAAGCTTTTGTCAAACTCAAGAAGATGTTTACTACTGCACCAATCATGCAACCACCGGATTGGAGCTTGCCATTTGAGCTAATGTGTGATGCAAGCGATTATGCCATTGGGGCGGTACTTGGACAAAGAAAGGAAAAGAAGCCATGTGCAATTTACTATGCAAGTCGGACGCTTAATGATGCTCAAATGAACTACACCACCACTAAAAAAGAGCTCCTTGCTATAGTATATGCACTTGACAAATTCAGGTCTTATCTAATCGGATCTCCAATCATGATCTTCACTGACCATGCTGCACTCAAGTATCTTCTTGCAAAGAAAGATGTTAAGCCACGACTCTTGAGGTGGATCCTTCTACTCCGAGAATTCGACATTGCCATCAAAGATAAAAAGGGAGTAGAAAATGTGGTGGCGGACCATTTATCTCGTCTTATTTGTGATTTATCTTTAGAATCTAACCCTATTAAGGATTCATTTCCAAATGAGCATTATTTTTAGTGTCATCTTTACCTTGGTATACTGATATTGTTAATTATCTTGTTTCAGGTAAGATGCCTAAATCATGGAGTACACAAGATCGGAGGAAATTTGTGAATGAAGCTAAAAAGTTCTATTGGGATGAACCATGCCTTTATAAGTATGGTGCGGATCAAATCATCCGATGATGCATTTCGGATGAAGAAAAAGGAAGTGTGATGAACTTTTGTCACAATGAAGCATGTGGAGGCCACTTCTCTTCGAAGAAAACTGCAGCAAAAATTCTTCAATATGGACTTTATTGGCCATCATTGTTCAAAGATATACACAATTTTTGCAAAGCTTGTCCAAGATGTCAATTATAAAAGGAATCACAAGAAGAAACATGATGCCCTTGAATCCAACCTTAATCATTGAAATATTTGATTGTTGGGGCATCGACTTCATGGGACCATTCTCATCCTCGTACGGTAACTTGTACATTTTATTAGTTGTTGATTATGTTTCCAGGTGGGTGGAAGCACGATCTTGCAAGAACAATGATAACAAAACTATTGTGAAGTTCTTAAAAGATAATATTCTTGTAAGATTTGGCACCCCAAGGCAATTATAAGTGATGGTAGTTCACACTTTTGTAACCGTACTTTTGAGGCACTCATGCGAAAGTATGGAGTTACACATAAAGTGTCATGTTCTTACCACCCTCAAACCAATGGGCAAGCTGAATTGGCTCAATAGGGAGATGAAGCAAATTTTAGAAAAAACGGTAAATTTGTCCTATAGTTTAATGAAGGTAGAGAACTGAATGCTATAGTTTAATGAATGTAGAGAACTTCGTTAGAAATGTAATAGAATCCTGTAATATTGAAGTGAGAATGCTTATGTAATAAATTGCTTAAGGAAATATGTTTGTTCGTAATATGATATTTAGATGATTTCTGTTACTCCCGTGTTCTGATTTTTAGCTTTTCTATTATTTATGGAAATCATATATATTCTAGGAAAGCATCACAACCTATATATATATATATATATATATATATATATATATATATATATATATATATAATCAACACTTAGTCACTCACATGGATATATATATAAACACACACAATCTGGTTTGTGTTCGATTACATACGTGTACATGACAAGTTTGCTTCTAATTTGCATTTTAAATGTCTTTGTAAGGTGATTTTTTTCTGGTTTCAGAAATAGGAAGAATCAATATTGGCTCTACTGAATTTTCGAAAGATACACACACACACACACACACACACACAGCCTCTACTGAATTGAATCAGGTTGTCTTTGCCTTCTTTGAATTAGAATTGGTGAATTAAGTTTAAAGTTGGCACGAGTTGAATCAGATTGGACTTATTTCAATGAATTGGAGCTAGAAAATCTGCATTGGCCACAATTCGTAACATGGGCAAGCCATCACTGGGTTAACAAAAGCCCTAGAATTTAGCTTTGCAAACTTGCACTCACAGTACTGATCTACATCATTTGGCAAGAAAGGAAATTGGGATATTTCACAGTACTGACCCATTAGCCCTAATATAACCAGCCAAAAACCCTAACAATCTAAGCCAGGTGGCTGAAGATGTTCTCAAGCAAACTCAATTATAGAGGCAACAAAATATCCGTTGATAACTGCCGGAGTAGCAGTTAGCAATGGATATAGGCAATCCGGTGCGCTTGAGTAATAACCAGTGGGATATCACCCACAATATCTTAATCTGGAGGCTGTGGTGGTGGACGAGCATGAGATGGGTTAGGAGTCCACTCGTATGTGAGCTTGGCATAGGAATTCTTCCTTGATGATCTGAGAATGCCGGTGATGGAGTTAGTGACAAGGTTCAAAACTTTTTGTTGCGATGAAGGTATGTTCCTATACACCCTATTGTTCCTTTCTTGCCAAATGATGTAGAGGCAACAAAAAGTTTTGAAGCTTGTCACTAACTCCATCACCGGCGTTCTCAGATCATCGAGGAAGAATTCCTATACCAAGCTTGCATACGAGTGGACTCCTAACCCATCTTGTGCCCGTCCTCCACCACAGCCTCTAGATTAAGATACTGTGGGTGATATCCCACTGGTTATTACTCAAGCGCACCAGATTGCCCATATCCATTGCTAACTGCTACTCCGGTAGTCATCAATGGATATTTTGTTGCCTTTATAATTAAGTTTGCTTGAGAACATCTTTAGCCACATGGCTTAGATTGTTAGGGTTTTTGGCTGGTTATATTAGGGCTAATGGGTCAGTACTGTGAAACATCCCAATTTCTTTTCTTGCCAAATGATGTAGGTCAGTACTGTGAGTGCAAGTTTGCAAAGCTGAATTCTAGGGCTTTTGTTAACCCATTGATGGCTTGCCCAGGTTACGAATCGTGGCCAGTGCAGATTTTCTAGCCCCAATTCATTGAAATAAGTCCAATCTGATTCAACTCGTGCTGACTTTAAACTTAATTCACCAATTCTAATTCAAAGAAGGCAAAAACAACCTGATTCAATTTAGTAGAGGCAGTGTGTGTGTATATATATCTATCTTTTGAAAATTCAGTAGAGCCAGTATTGATTCTTCCTATTTCTGAAACTAGAAAAAAATCACCTTACAAAGACATTTAAAAAGCAAATTAGAAATAGACTTGTCATGTACACGTATGTAATCGAACACACACCAGATCTTGTACACATACGTAATCGAACACAAACTAGATTGTGTGTGTTTATATATATATATATATATATATATATATATATATATATCTATGTGAGTGACTAAGTGTTGACTAAGTGACTAAGTGTTGATTATATATATATATATATATATATATATATAGAGGTTGTGATGCTTTCCTAGAATATATATGATTTCCTTAAATAATAGAGAAGCTAAAAATCAGAACATGGGAGTATAAGAAATCATCCAAATATCATATTACGAACAAACATATTTCCTTAAGCAATTTACTACATAAGCATTCTCACTTCAATATTACAAGATTCTGTTACATTTCAAACAAAGTTCTCTACATTCATTAAACTATAGCATTCTGTTCTTTACCTTCATTAAACTATAACATTCATATCCTGGAGGTAACTTAAGAAAATTCATATCTCAAAGCTAGGCCGATTTGTCCCTAGGGGCATAACGGTGTTGGTAGGAATCCGAGAGGTAGGTTCTTGAGGTCTTGCTTTCGAGCTGCACTCCTGACTTAAATGGGGCGTGTAATGTCCCAGATTTTTTTTTTTTTTTGAATTTCTTGTTAATAATTCTCCGTGCCTCGCTTTGCATGCCACGCTGGGCCCGAGGGTTTTAGAAATTCATTTTAATTATTTTAAGTCAATTAGAAGTGACAATATCATTTGTAGAATTTTTTGGAAGTTGGGACGATTTTCAGGCTTGGGAACTTCTCCCGGTTTTCTCATGTCAAATGAGGGGTATTGTTGATATTTTACACACATATACATATACATAAATCGACACATTAAGGAGATATTTTGGGGACAAGGTTGTCCATAGTGAGATCATTGGAAGGCATGTTGGTAACTTTGCAAAGAGTTAGTAATCAACCAAAGGTTGACACTTGGCAAAGGGAGGATCATTCATTCATTTGGAAGACTTGACCAAGCCTTTCTTTTTCCCCATTTTCGGCCATTTGCTTTCTCTCTCTAACTCTTTTATTTCTCTCTCTATATCTATCTATATACCTATGTCTTCCATTGTTTCAAACTTCATTTTGAGGGGTTTAGAGTAGGATTTGTGAGAGGAGCAAGAATGAGAGAAGTTGATGAGCTTTGCAAGAGCTTCATTTTGGCACCACTATTGCTAAGGCTCGGAGGATTTCGAAAATGGGGGCTAGCTAAGGGCTTGTTTCGTTGCTCACATTTGAGGTAGGGGTTTTCTAAGCCTTCAAACTTTGCATTTGTTTGAGTATTCCTACTTAATTCACTTTAAAAACTCATTCATGAATTATAATTTGTGACAATGTAGATGGTTGTGTGATAAAGTGTTTTAAGCATGCTAAAGTGTTGTAAGCAAAGATGGTTATTTGCTAAGTGTGGAATATGTTATCCTTAAGTTGTATAAATGCTAAATTGTAAATGTGAGCAAGAGTATGAGATGTTGCAAATTATGTGATGAGCATGCTTGTAGTTAGTTTCATATAATATGACATGCTTGAAACTAGAATGTAGAGAATGCTTTTACTCATGTGAATCACCATGCTCGCTTATTTTTCCTTGGTAGCAAGAGAAATCACACTATATTTTCCAACATAAAACCACCTATGCCACCTAGTATCACTAGAACGACTATGATCATCACCAAACCATGACTAATTCAATAACTCATCATTGCCACCATTTGCGGTCGGAGCCGACTGCTTCGTCCAATCACCGGAGTCATAGATTCTGGTGAATTCCTCTGTTATTTTCCATTCATTTTCTTTGGGGGGTGGGTTAGGGATTTCTTTGCTAAGGTAGCACTGGTAAATAGATGAGAGCCTTTGAGGGGAATCGATCCTTTCTTGAGGTAGCGAAACTTTCAAGTCTTGCTCTTACGGGAGAGATCCAAAGCTCTGTGACCAGTAAAGGACATGTATTTAAAGTGGATAAGCCCAACACAACAATCGGGCAGGCTGCGTTGAAATCTTGTTTGGTTGGGAGATTCGATAGAGATGTGGGATGTATTCAAAGTATCGAGGAATGGGCGTCGAGATCTTGGAAGATTTCTAGCGGTGTGAGGGTTAGCTCTTTACCTGATGGCTTGATGTTGTTTAGGCTACCTTCGGAGATCGAGGTTAAAAGAGTGTTGAAGGATGGGAAGAAAAGATGGGGGAGGCAATTTTATACATCGAGCATTGGTGCTTCAGGTTGGGTTGCTCAGGGCTGTGGAAAAAGTGTAAGAAAAGTAGAATTCACATTCTAGGGTTACCATTGCATATTTGGTTTCAGATATTGTTCGAAGCTATTGGTGATCTTTGTGGAGGGTTCCGTGATGTTGAGGCCTATGAGTGGTGTGACACAAACAAAGTTGTTCTTATAGTCGCTGATGGTGGTCATATTCCGGAGTTTGTCATTGTCGAAAATGATTGGGTCGTCTTTAAGATCGCTCTGATGGAAGAGATTGCCCCATCCCTTGTGGTGAAGCCCGAATCTCTGATTAGGAGGGATGAAAGCTTATTGATTTCAAAGGAGGAGTGGATCCGTCGTAATTGCAGTTGCCGTGGCTCTAGTACGACGAAGAACGGTTACGCAGGTTCAAAGGGACATGGACAAGTGACTTACCACGCGCGAGAAGTGCGTGACAGAAGAAATTCGGTCAGGGCAAAACGAGGGGGACAACTGGGCAAGTCACGTGGGTGGAAGGAGAATGATTTTGTTCAAAAGAATGGGCCAGCTATGAGTGGGAGATGGTTGGATTACTTTAACCCACTCCAAAGGAATATTGGTCGCTCTCGGGAAGTGCGCTATGCAGACTTTTCAAATGGCAAAGAAATGCGTGAAGAGAGGGCGAAGGTTTGAGATACTGGATCTGAAGGAATTGGGCCAAGCTCTGTGGGTTGGTCTGTTCCTGGGCCAAGTGATGGGCAGTGACGGGCTGAGGTTTTGTTTAAAAGTGATGGGTTTAAACCCAAGGGCATGAATAGGCCTGGTTCTGGGCCAGGTGAGCAGCGAAGGAAAGTGCAGAAAGGTTGGGATGGGCCTAAGTATAAGAGTCAGGTTTGTGGACCGGTTTTGAGGCTTATGATCTGGACTAAGCCTCTCTAATAAGGAACGGACTGTCTCTTGGGGCCCAAATAACTGTTTAGTGGTAAGTTATGAAGCACGGACATGGACACAGGTACGACACGACATGACTCGGATTCAGCGACACGACAAATTTCAAAAAAACAGGATACGGACACGGCGGGGATACGGCTATAAAATAATATATATATATATAATTATATATTCAAAATCCACAATTCATCATCTAAGCATTTAAGAACCAAACAAATAACTTATCACCTAAAAGTCATAAGTTCAATAACCAAAATTCTACAATATATGCATCTTTCATCTTTAGCCAGTGATCACATAAGATTCATAAGAATAATAACTGAACAGTTTACTTATCAAAAAAACAAAAAAAACTGAACAGTGAGCCCAAAAAAGAAAAGGAACTCTATAATCCTCTTCATTGAGTTGGATCTTCTAGAAACTCATCGTCATTTCCATCTCCCTCATCGGTAAATATCATGGCCTCCAAGTCCGGTTCATCAAGTGAAAGATTTGCAATCTCAAGTATTCTACTACCTTCTAAGGAATCAAATGCATCTCTCCCAACATCCCACATCTTAGTTTCACCCACATTATATTGTGGAGTTCTCCTTGATAGAAGACGAAGATTGGAATGCACAAATACCAAATCTTCAGCTCTTTGTGGTGCTATCTTGTTCCTCTTCAAAGATTGGATGAAAGAATATGTTCTCCAATTCCTCTCACAACATGAGAAGGAACAAGGATGTCCAAGTACCTTCAAAGCCAAAGATTGGATTAGGGGTGTTGAAGCTTCATAAGAAACCCACCAAATTGCCGGCTCCATAAGTCCTCTATCCTTCAAGGAATCAACCGATCCAAACTCTCTAAAACCCGCCGAAAAACAAGCATACTCTTCTTTAACCTTCCTTCTCTCCACATCATTAGTAAAGTACCTTTGGAAGCATTTTTCTCTTAAACTTGAAATCTCTTGATCTCTATGTGGAGGAACACGATTGGGAGCCTTTTGAAGCCATTGTGTGCTGTAAAACCTAGAAGTGACAAAATGATAGCTAAAAGTTAATTTGAAAAATATTCAAATTAGAACCTAAAAAATGTATAAAATATTAAAAATTTCCTTGGATTCAAGGAATGTGCTAAGCAATGAAGGGGTGTGTTGCTCTTACTCCATCTAGCACTTAATATTTTGCGCACCACGAAAAAGAATGGAGACTCATGCTCTTGCTTTCTTTCATGATGATAAATAACGGCCTTCACTTTAGCTATCATGAGTCCCACATCTCATACACCAAGTGAAGACAAGGAACATCCGTATCGGCCCTCCTAAGCATATCATAGATTGGCTCAGTAAAGTTAATTATGTAATCAATATCTCGCCACCAATCATCACTTACTATTTTTGTCTTGACAGTTAAGGCCCTTTTAACATTATCTTCCCTATAAGATGCCCAAAAATCACTCATGACCATGTCTTGGAGACCACGTTTTATTTGTTTAAATCTTCTTAGCATCACAATCATTGAAGCAAAACGTGTCTCCGCAATAGAAAACATGGTTAATTTCGCATTTTCATGAAACATTGCCAATCTCATGGAATGATTCATTATAAAATTTTTAATAAACATACAATCATCGATAATAGTTGTAATCCAATGGCATTCTAGAAAAACAACTTCATTGGCATCGGTATTTTTAGCCGCACAAATATTTTTCAAAGCAAGGTTGAGGGTATGAACCACACAAGGAGTCCAAAATACTTTTGGAAATTGGACTTCAACAAGCAATCCCGCACTCCTACAAACAGGAGCATTATCGGTAATAACTTGGACCACATTATCGGGTCGAACCTCTTGAATGGTCTCCTTGATCAACTCGGAGATGAAAAATTTATCTTTGATTTCACCTTCACAATTTACCACTTTCAAGAACATAAGCCCATTTACACTCATAGCCATAAAATTGATGATTTGCTTCCTTTGTGGATCCGTCCATCCATCACAAACAATAGTAAAACCATTTTCCTTTCATGAATCTTTAATTAGAATCATCAACCTCTCTATGTTTGCTTTTTCATTTTGAAGAAGAGTAGTCCTCAACAAGTTGTAATAGGGAGGAATATAGCCACTAATACTATTATTAGAGACATAAGTGTAGGAGGCAACATAGTGTGGGTTCCTTGCAAGGTGAAAAGGCAAACCGGCCGAGTAAAACATTCTTGCAATTTCGCTATGCAATTCATCACGAGCTCCAAGATTAAATGCTTTTTCAATCGCCGAAATAGTTTTCCTCTTTCTTAGTTCAAAAGCATCACGCATAAATGGCCCACCTCTCGTGCTTACATTTGCACTTGATGAATATCCAGCTTTACTTGACTTTGTGGAAGGTGGCAAAGGAACCTGTTTTGGCATCTTTCTCTTAATTCTTATTTCAGCTTCATCAACTAACCTTTGCATTTTAGCTATATGATCATTAGTCACTTTTTTACATGCTTGAATGCCATGTCCCGAGATTTTTAGCAAATGCGCTTTTACCCTATAGTATGATCCCTTAAAATTCCCTTGACAATAATTGCATTAAAAATTAATATTTCCCCCTCCTCCCCTAACCTTATCAAACTTTTTAACGTATTTCTAGAGAGGGGTGTTATCATCTGGTTCAACCCCACTGCTAGAACTTTGCACATTCATTTTCCTAATAATAAATAGGTATATATAAATACAAAATTGCAAATAAAACAACAACAAATAACATGACCAATTTTAATAATTTCATCTCTGTTATAACTTATAACTAATGAACTGATGCATTCATTTTCAAATAACCACATATAATTTGACTAATATATTCCATGAAAGGGAATATGTTCCCTGATTTTATTATTCTTTAACTTATAGTATAACACATCTCATGAATCATCATGCTATATAACATTATAATCTGGGAGATGTCAACGTACTGAATAATAAGGGCCCTTTTTTTTTTTTTTCCCGGTAAATTGCTTATCTTTCACAAAGTCTTGTACATCCGTACATGTAACTTAAAAAAAAAAAAAAAAAAAAAAAATGTCTTGTTCATGTACGTATAGAGATCTAATTGAAGAAGAGGATAGAGGAAGTGAGAGAAAAGAAACCTACTTGGTGGAGTCGCTGTAGTAGACACCGGAGAGACGAAAAATCTGGTGGAGAGTTGCTGTCGCTAAGCTCGTAGTTGCATTCGAGGAGAGGAATCGCCTTCGGCAATCGGCGAAGGAATGGAGGATTTGGGAATTTTGGGTCTAGGGCATAGAACAGATATATATGCGTATTTAGAATTTTAGAGCCCAAATAAATTTTTTCTATGTATTTATTTTTTCAAAATTTTACTTTTAACTTCTAAAATTAGTAAATTACATTAGGTACCCATTTATCTTTAAAAAAATTCAAAATATTCCCCGTCGTGTCCCCCGCGTGTCCGAGCTGTGTCCACCCTGTGTTCAATAAAAAATAATTTCTGGACACTTCATAGAAGTGTCGGACACGTGTCCAAGCCTTAGACACGGGTGTCGGTGTCCGAAAAGTGTCCGACACTGGTACGGGACCCCTGGGAGGAGTGTCCGTGCTTTATAGGTGGTAAGTCTATCCGGGCCTAGACAGATGGAGAAGGATAGGCGTCCGGGGAGTTTGTTTACGGCCCAAGCCCAGGGACATGCATCGTGTCAGGATGATGGAGATGTTGACGGAAACACTAGACATGGTGGCTGCTGTTTGGGGAGAGAATCGGAGAACAGGTTCAAGCCTCTTACTGAGCCGGTACAATCAGAAGATGGTGATCAAAGTTTCTTTGGGTTTGGGTAGATCAAATTGAAAAGTAACAAAGTCAAGAATAGGCGAAGGACCAGGAGAGAGAAATAGAAATGGGTGCGCCAAAATGACGTTCCTATTAAACCGGGTACGTCTGGATCAAACTATTCTCGGAGCTCTCTCTCTGCTCCTTTTTCTGCTACCCCTTGTTGGGTGTTGAGGAGTGGTTATGGGGAGATTTGTGATGGGTTGTCAGAGAGGATTGGGGTGTTATCACCTGTGTTCGAAAGGGAAATAGAGGGTGTGTTGTCCGCTGAACTAGAGGATGTGGTGGAGATTGCGGCACATTCTTTAGATAAGGATGAGATTGTAGTTGCTGTGGAGTCGAAGATGGGGTCACGGTTTGCGTGGGAAGAAACACGAGGTTTCGGTTGAGTAACGAGGCTGCTTCAGTTTTGGTGAAGGAATTGAGGGTCTACAAAGGTTTGAAGGGTTGAATCGTCTTCTAGACTTTAGTTCAGACACTGGTGCAGGTGAGGGGGAATTCTGCACACCTTTGAATTGCAATGGATCGAATGTTCCTGAGTTTAATGTTGGTGATATGATGGTGGGCGATGCTGTAGTGGACAGTTTGGGGTTGGTGCCATGGGAAGAGACCCAAAATTCAGAAATGATACAACCTTTATGCGTTCTTTTACTGGATGAGGCTTGGAGGGATCTCCATTAGGTAGGCATGGATGATAGAGGGGTGGAGTGGGTTAAGGAAAATATTGATGTTGCGAGCAGTATGCTGGGGGTTTCTCTTGAGCCAAACAAAGAGCAGGCAAGGCTGGTGCTACATTCTATCGCCGAAGGAAAGAGTGTGGATGATGATGAGGGAAGGGATATGACAGCTAGGACTATGATGAGGCAGTCTCCGTGGAGGGGGGGAAGGGAGTTGCGTGGTCTTATTTGTGAGGTCAATTATCATAGGAAGAATGGGGTGGAGAGGGAAATGAGTAGTGAGAGAGGGGTAGAGGTAGAAGGAAAGGGGAGTGTGCAGCCACTGTTTTTTAATGAACTGCCGCATTTTATCATGGAACATCCGAGGCCTTAATGACCCGGACAAGAGGAAAATGGTGAATATGGCTTTGAGACAGTGGGGTGTTCATGTGGTGTGTCTTTAGGAAACAAATATGGCTGCTATTTCAGACAGGGTGGTGAGGAGTTCATGGGGTGGGAAATTTGTTGATTGGGAGGCTTTGGATGTTGTTGGGACGTTTGGGGGTATTTTGGTGATGTGGGATAAAAGGTGGGTGTCGAAAGCGGATGTGTGGAGAGGGACTTATTCCATTTCATGGGCCTGGAGGAGGATGGATTCCGGTGGATGTTTTCGGGACTGTACAGTCCCATTAATGATGGGGATAGGCACCTTCTTTGGGAGGAACTGTGGTCTGTGAAGGATCAGTGGGGTCTGCCGTGGTGTGTAGGAGGGGATTTCAATGTTGTCCGTTCCCTTATGGAGAGATCGATAGGGGGAAGGTGGACTTCGACCATGACACAGTTTTCGGAGTTCATTGATGGTCATTAGCTTTATGATTTATCCTTGGACGGAGCGTCTTTTACTTGGGTTAGTGGTAGAGAGTCCCCTACGTTTTCTCGGTTGGATAGATTTCTTATTCCGGGTGATTGGGAGGAGAAGTTCCCGGATGTGGCCTAAGCAGCTTTGGCCAGATTGATTTATGACCATATCCCTCTAGTGTTAGACTATGGTGGACTGGGGTCAAGGATCACTCCTTTTCGTTTTGAGAACATGTGGCGTAAAGCGGATGACTTTCACGGTTGTGTGAGATCCTGGTGGGAGGGGGTAAAGGTGACTAGGAACCCGAGTTTCATCCTGGCGGGTAAGAGCATCTCCAATGCTCTTTCATTTTGGGCTCTCAAACTCATAATTTGAGAGATGGGTAAAAAAGGGTTCTCCAATAGCCTTTCATTTGGCCTCTCAAATTTGAAAATCTCAAATTTTCTCTCAAATGTAAGAGCTGCCAAATTTTTTTGGCAAGTCTGTTTAATAGCCCTATGACGCTGTTTCTTCCTCTCATCTGCAACGACCTTTTCCCTCTCATGTGCAACGTCTTCCTATCTCCCTCAATTCTCTATCCCTCAATATCGCTATCTCTGTTTTCTCTCTCTCCCTCTCATCTGCAACGACCGGTTGTGGCTTCTGCCATTGTCGGATTTTGAACTTCGGCGGCGGATTCTACGATCTGGTCCCACTGGAGGACTCCAAGGTGCTGCTCAGCCGTGGTTCTTGGTGGTTCGATCGTGGTTCTGGGTGGTCCGATCGTGGCTCCCTCCGCCGTTGCCGTAGTTTTGGGTTGTGGCATGAGCTCCGGTGAAGAGGGCGGCGGCAATGATGATCAAAAATCGACCGGAGATTGGATGAATATGATGAAATAGCAACGCCGATATGGGTTGTGATATAGGTAATAGGTTGTGAACTTTGGATTTTTGCAGACAGATAGATAAACTGAAATATATGGGTTTTGAACTTCTGATTCTTGTAGATTTTGTAGTTTGCAGTTACAGAGAGAGAGAAAGAGGGCAAGTTCTCAGTGTTGAGAACGAGATGGAGGCGATTGGGGAGGCTGAAATGATTTGCCCTAAAAAAATATATATTTTTAATAATTATATAATCAAATATATATAATATACATACATACATACATATATATATATATATATAATATAATATAATATAAATTCCCGAAAAAGAAAAAAAAAATTATATAAAAAAATTAATTCACAAATAGTGGTAAAAAAATTATAAAAAATTTGTTTTTTTTTTTTTGGTCCTTTTTTGACTAGATATTTTAGATTTTTGCTTCTTTTTAATTAGGTTTAATTTTAGTTTCCTTTTAATGTCTCCAACTTGACTTGGAATATGCCTAATATTAATATTACTGATGCAAATATGAATGGTGGGAATGGTAGTTGAAAAAGAATGGTGGTTGTGTCAAAAAATAGCATTTTGCATGAAATGCACCATTGGAGCAGAATTGCTAAAATGTAGCATTTTGACACTGTAGCACCTGTCAAAATATAGATTTGGCATCCAAATTTAGCTTTTAGCATTGGAGATGCTCTAAACATAAGGCGTTGAAGATTGAACTCAAAGAGATGGAATAAGG